CATATAAATCTTTCTTGAAACTTTAAATATATATTCTTTGTCATTTTATAATCTTTTGTTAAAAGCTTTGTTTCTTAACTCAGTAGTTTAAAGAAAATCTTCCACTAAAGTTGAACAATTCTTTACTATGTTTTCTAAGTCAAATGACTGACTCACCCAAAGCAATTATATGATTGGTTAAAATAATCTTTTAAAAATTTAGGAAAATTTTACTAAGCAAAGGTTTCTTCTGCTTCTAAGTAAAGTTGTAGAGAAGGTTATTCTGGTTCTAATGGTAGTTAGATCATTAAAATCAGGCAAACTGCTCTTTTCTCTAGTTTTTGGCATTCTCTAACTGCATAAAGCGCTAAGGTGGTTTTCCCAATTGTATTTTTTTCATAAATGTCGACAATTCTTCCAAGAGGGTAACCACTTCCAGTATTTGGTCTAAAATGAGGCTTCCCATGAATAAGGTTGGTTGGTCTTTAAATTTGCTTTCTCCTAATTTACTAATAACTCCTTCTCCATACATTGAGGACATTACTGATGACTATTCTAAATATCTTAAGAAGAAAGAAGAGTTTCAAGAAGAATTGGAGAGATTAAAGTTCAAAGATAATCAAGCAGAATTAACTACAAAACAAAAATCAATTCAAATTGAAGAAAATATCACAATCATGTGAATATAGAGATCTGCAAATTTGTAGTTACACAAAGTATTATTGTAATAATATTTTGTATAACCACCAATTTGCAAATCTCTATGTTCACGTCTTTAACCCCAAGTATTTTGGGATTTACCAAGCAGATTTTAATGATCTAACATTATTAGAACCAGAATAACTTTCTCTACAACTTTATTTAGAAGCAGAAGAAGCCTTTGCTTAGTAAAATTTTTTGATTATTTTAACCAATCATTTAATTGCTTTAAGTAAATTAATTATTTAATTTAACTTTACAGGGGTTATAAAGATAAAAAATACATCAACTTTAATGAAAATTTTTTTTTAAACTACTAGAAGTTAAGAAACAAGGTTTTTAACAAAAGATTATAAAATGACAAAGAACATATATTTAAATTTTTAAGAAGATTTATATATATTTTCTTAAATAAATTAAATTTTAATAATTGTTTTGTAAAAATTTACATATAAAATTTAGTGTGTCAACTCATTTGACTCATAAATACAGCAATAGAAACTCCTGTATAAGGACATGTCCTGTGACTGATATAGTTTATTCATAAAATAATGTAACACATTTTATCATCAATAAAATTCCTTATTTAATATTACTTTTTTGTTCGTTCACTTTAAATTACCAGTGAGTATGTATTTAGTTTATGGGAAATTATAGGTATCTCCTGTGAGAG